CCCCCCCCACCTTGTCGTCCCTAGCCCAGCGCCTTGCCGCGTGCGCTGGAGAAGCTCAATACGTGTCAATTGAATTGAACTGCTGCGGGCGAAGGCTGTACGCCGCTGCCGAGCACCGATCGGCACGACGTTACCGAGTGGAAATTTATGGGGCGAACAGTGTAAGCCAAAAGTTGCTCTTTGCCAAGGAAAATAAAACGCGGGAGATAATCTCACGGGGCCGGGGTGAGGGGCCAGGGCAGACCCTCCAACTATACGAGGTGCAGAGGGTGAAATGCCCGCAAACCGGGAGAAATTCTGGAGGGTCTTGGCTCTCCTACAGCCCCCCCCCCCACGACTTCCAAGTTGCCCCACTACCTGCCTCCTGTACCCCTCCTTCTCCCCTCTCCAAACACAATTGAAACGTCGGGGGAACTCGGGCGCGGAGTTCGGGAGGAATGGCCACTGTTCACTGGGGTGGTGTTTCCAGGTAGCTCTTGAAACTGAAATGGTAAAGGGCTTCTCCCGGAAGAAGGGGCGACCCAGAGTGGGGGTGGGCGCCGACGCGCCACTAGCCTGGCTCTGCTAGGTCTTGGAGGGGACGCGCAGCCGGGAGAGCGCAGCGCTGGTGGCGAGAGGAGGGAGCGGCGGCTGCCACTGGGGTTTGACAGCTTTGGCTGAGAGGAGTGCGAGGCGCTTTATGGTAATTGCGGTCCTCCACTGGCCTTCTGGGTAGCGAGGGGAGTCTCGGCGCGCGACTGGGAGAGCCGCCCCCGCCGCCCCCAACCCCTGGGCTCGCGATCTGCTGGCCGCCCGAGCCGCCGCCGCCTCCGGAGTCGGTCTGTAGTTCGCCCAGGACGCGCGCCCCGGCCGGCAGTGCGCAGCCAACTCGGTCCGAGCGGGGGAGGGGAGAGCAAGGGGCGAGGGGGCGCCACCCAAGTGGTCCAAGGTTCGGACCCCGAGAGGCGAAACGTGCCCGGCCGGGAATCGATGACGGCTGGGGAAACTCGGGGCAAGCCTTTCCAGGGGAATCACCCGTCCGAAACCCCACCGCCAAGGCGCCGCAGCGGAGGGTGAGCGGAGGCTGGGGGAGCTCAAACTTGCAAGAGCTGGAGGCGGCGGCGGGCGGGCGGCTGTCGCCCGAGCGCTGCGCCTGCGGGGGGAGGGGAGGCGGCTGCTGGGAGGGAGGGAGGGAGGGAGAGAGGACGGGCGGAGGGAGGGGGAGGAGGAAGAGGAGGGAACCTGGGAGGGGGGACGCGTTGGGATCGCGGCGTGCGGCGGCAGACGGAGCCCGGGCTCCCAGCGGCAAGGTGAGACTGAACAACGCTCCTCGCTGAACGCCGGCCGAGCTCGGCGGCTGCGGGGGAGACGCGCCGGAGCCCAGACCGCGACCAAGAGCGGGAGCTAGGCGGACCGCGGCGGCGGAGGGGGAGCCCGCGAGCCGCCGGGCGGGGAGCCCAAGCCGGACGACTTGGCCAACACACACACACACAGACACACACACACTCACACTCACACACACCCAGCCCAAGCGGGCGCTCGCGGCGATCCGTCAACATGGCGCTGGGGCTCCTGCCCGAGCGCGGGCGGCAGCAGAGGCGGCGCGGGAGCTGCTGAGCCCGGCCGAACCCGGCCCAGTCGCGGGAGCCCGGAGGATCGCGCGGGGCTGCCGCCACCTGCCCGGAGGCTTTGAGTCCGCCCCGCCCCGCCCCGCCCATACCCAGCCCTGAGCCCACCCCTCGGAGGGACCGACCCCGAGGGCTGCCGACTGGCAGCAGACGGCGAGGGAGGCGAGCGAGCGCGGCGCCGCGATCGGGCTGCGGGCAGCCGGGGACGGCAAACTTTGCTGCTCGCCGCGCTTCCCCCGGCCCGGTTCCTTTTCTGCTCGCCGACGTAGTCACCCCACTTTCCACCAACCCCCGTCCACCTCTCCCCACCCACTCTGCCGACTCTTGCTCCTCGCCGGCTCGACTCTGCTCGGGGGAAAAAACTTAAAAGCGCCAGCTCGGAGGCTCCCAGTCCTGGCCGGGGATTTCAGGTCAGTGCCCGGAACACCTCTCCCCCGGGAGGCCGCGAGCGGGCGGGTGCGCCGCGGGCTGCAGTCTGCCCCCTCCCTCGGGGCCCCCGCCCGCCTCGCGTTTCTCCTCCGACTCGTGAACCCCGCGAAGCTCTCGCCTCGCGCTACCCTTTGGCTGCTTTGCTCGCTTTCGTTTTTATTTCGTATCTGTAAGTTGTTAGAAATGCAGCCAACCTGAGCAGCCCCGCACGGGCACCGTGGAGGGAGGGGTGCGGCTGGGGGCCTGCCGCCTCCCTTGGGGGCTAGGAGGAGAGCAGGGAGTTCGCGGAGTGGAAGTTTGCAGCCTGTGTGTGTCTGTGTGCGCGGGAGCGCGGTCGCCGCTGAGCGCCCGAGTCGGGCGCGGGGGGGTGTGTGTGTGGGGGGAGCTGGGCTGGAAGCTGGGAAGCTCGGCTCGGCGTTAGCTCGCGAGCAGGAAGGGGAGGGCGGCGGGTTCCCGTCTGCTTTCTTTTTCGACTCGGGAAAGAACTGTAAAAAACCCCAGTCGCCGCCGCCTCGTCTCGCCTCTCCGGGGGCCAGTCGTTCCTCTTAGTGGAACGGCGGCGTGTGCGTGCGCGAGGGTGTGTGGCGGGCGCCCCGGGCCGAGTCGAGCTCGACCTGCCGCCGCTGCCGCGGCGCAACTCGGGAGGGGAGTCCCGGGTTTTTTCTTGGCTTGCCCCAAAGCGCGAATCACGTGGATTATTAAAAAAAAAACTATTAGGAAATCGTGCAGAGCGAGGGGTTCCGACTCGGCCCGTCCGCCCGCCCTCCAGGTCAGACGCTTTGTTTTGTAAATGTTCTTTTTAAATTATAATCCGGGACCCCCCTGCGGCCCCCACTCTCTTGTTGTGGGGTTTCTTTTAAGTTCCGAGCCTTCAGGGGCTGGGGTTGAGTGAGAGTTCGGGGGCGGCGGCGAGCAGGAAGGGCGGGGGCTGGGGGGGCGAGATCTGGGCCCTACGCTGGGCAGCAGGGAGTCTAGTGGGCAGCCCGTTGGGGCGTGTGCAAGTCTGCGGCCAGAGGAAGTTGGTCCCACTTGGAGGGCGTGCGGCACGGAGGCTGAGGGCGAAGAGGAACTTGCGCACCCGGGCGCGATCCTCGGCTGAGGCGGGGAGGGCGAGTCGCCGACGCGCCGCGGGGCCCGCGCTCGGAATAGGCGGGCGGCTGCGATGCAGAGCCTCAGCCAACTCGGGGGCTCCGGGCGGTGGCGACGTGCGTCTGCTGTTTACGAAGCAAGCCCTGGGGCGCCGTGCGCGGTGTAGGACGACTCGAGGCACGCGAGGTCCCGGCGGGCTTCCCGCGGATGGCACTCGCGAGTGGGCAGGTCCCCGGGTCCCCGAGACGTCGGAGTCTGGCCGCGTGTTGGCCGAGGCCGGGCGAGGCTTAGGCTTAATTTGCTGTTAATGAATCTTTTCCGTAAAGTCCGAGATCTCCAGCTAGAGGCGGTGAGTGCCCGTGCGTGAGGGAGCGGGCCGCTGGCGTCTGAAGGTTGGGGGGGGGGGTTGGGGGAGTAGAAGCGGGGAGGAAGGGGGGGAGGGTTATGTGTATTTAAAAACAAACCTTAAAAAGAAACCAGCGCGCTTCAAATAGGTATTCACATAGCCTCGCCGTGTCTAGACTAGACAGCTCAGGGGTTTAGCTGTTTTTTTTTTCTTTTTCTTTTATTTCCTTTTGCGGGGGGACTGGGGTGGAGGCTAGGTGTATCTGGTCCTCGGGGTAGCCTTTTGGAGAAAAATTCTTAAAATGGCCTGGGAGTAAAAATGGGGAGGAAATGGCCCACCCCAGAAGGTGGTGGGTGGTGAACGCAGACAGACTTGGGTATTTCTAGCCATCTGACACTTCCTGTGGCACTGGAAACGGACACCGCGGGCCGAAATCAATCCTTAGGAGGTGTTGGATTCAGTTTTGCCAACAGAATTGCTTGTGTGAAAGGCATTTTAATTGTCGGCCTGGAGACTACTGTCCGTGGACACTTGGAGACTGCGTTTGTTTCTCGACCCTTATCATTCCACCCCCGACCTGGTCTGGGCTTTGCAGTGTTGGTTCTTGTGTTTATTTTGGGCATGGTTTCACCGCGTGAAGGAAGGGGGGGGTGGGGAGGTGGTGATGATTAATGCGCCGTCCAGGTTTAATCCGAGTCCGGCTTGCAGTGTGCGGGTGTATGCTACTCCCCGGGATTGCCAGGAGTAGTTAGGGGAGCGCGCGGGGTTTGGGCGCCAGGCGCTCCGCGGGCTGGTCGGGGCTGGGGCTCGGATGGCCCCGGCGCTGTCCTTTGAGGCGCTGTCACCAGTAGGTGACTGAGAGTTAATTAGGAAGTGTTCTCCGGATCAATGGGCCGCACAGCTCATTAGCGATTCTCTCCAGCCCTTTGCAGGGCCGGCCCGGCCTTAGCCTCCCACACAGGCCAGGGCCCCACGGTCCGGGCTGCGGAGAACGCCGCTGGTAGTGGGGAAGGGCCCGCAGCGTGGGGCGGTGGGGAGGCGAATGAACTTCGCGGGGCGGCGCACTGAGTGCGGCCCCGCGAGGCACGCGCAGCCCGCTCTTTCTTCCTGTTCTCGGTCGCCTCGACTGTGTCTTTAACTCGCTCCCGTTCGCGTCGCTGCCTGGCTGCTCCTCCCCGCCTCCCTCGCCTATCTCTTGTTCTCTAAGCACGACGCCTGTGCTCCCCGCCCAGTTTGGGATTAGACAAGATAAAAATAGGACTGCCCAGCGCGCAAAGCTGTGACTATGCCCCGGCAGCCGAGCTGGCGAGAGCGCGGGGGGCCGGGGCAGGGGCCGGGGCCGGGGAGAACCCGCGGTGCGCTCGCGGCGGCCGGCTCCCGGAGGCCCCCACCCCCACCTCGCAGGCGCGTTCTTGTTCCCCAGGCTCCGGCCGCAGGGAGCCTTGCGAGCAGGGGGACCAGGGCTGGGTCTCCGCGATCTCGCGGGTGTTGTTGGTGTGCCTGTGATAGATCGGTCTAGACAGGCATGCAGGCCCCCTCCCGGCTGAAGGACGGGAGGGGGGGCGGGCCGCGGAGGCGGCGGCAGACTCCCGTGAGCAGCGAGTGAGCGAGCGAGCCTGCGGGCCCAGCGAGCCGGGTGGAGGGAAGGCTGCGAGCGAGGGTTTCTCTTAACCCTTTAATGGCGCTGGAGATAGTGCGGTGGAGTGTGGGGGTGGGCAAGGAGCCCAGCAGAAATTCCTGGAGGCCGAGTAGCCCCCAAGCGGGAGGGGGCGGGAATCAGGTCTAGCTTTTCCTTTCTTTTCAGTGTTTGCGTCCTCACATCCTGGTGCATTGGACTGAATTCTGCAACGAACCAAGCGCAGCTGCTAAATAGATGATCTAGTTTGACCCTGTACTTCTCAGTGGGGAGAGGAGGCAGATGTGAACACAGTGGATACACTCACTTGAGGAACTGAGTTTGGGAGATGTAGAAGTAGACCTCTGTTCCCAGAGAAATCACGTGGACGATCCAGTCAGGGAAGGTCTGCTCAAAGCCATAGTGGGGTGGGGCCTGTGACCAAGGCTGCTGCAGACGCAGACCTGAGCCAGGCCAGTGTGCACAGATATGCTTTGGAGAAAGCAAAGAAGTCCTTGGGTTGTTTGTATAAAAAGCCACACTTTTTAACCATGAACTTGTCAGGGGTTAGGTATGTGCAGGGAGATAGCCTTCAGACAGGAGTTAGACAATGACATGTACAGGATCGATCATTTGTAAACACACAAGTTGGGTCAGTATTGAATTGGCCAGAAAATGTGATGCAATTCTGCAGACATTGGTCTAGTTCTTACCACAAGTAGTCCTGGTGGTTGCCTTACCTTAGATATAAGTCTCCTGCCCCCAACTCTCCCTTTTAGGGCTTTTGCCGTCTAGGGGATCCTAGTGTAGTGTAAACTGCAATCCCCCATTGGTCTGGCCTGAGACTGCGACACATAGGGAGGCAAGAGTGAGTATGGGTTAGACAGGAATGCTCAGATTAAGATGTGCGCCTGGATGACATGTGTTGAGACAAATCAAGACACTTGTGCTCCGATGCCCACATGGAACAAGTGATACATGAGAGATAAAGAACTGGCCCAGAGGAATGTAAACATGGATACACACGTTCTGAGGCCGATAGCAACAACCTAAGAGAAATTCCCAGACTTTTTGAGAGGAAACTGGAGCAGAATTTCTATAAATGTGCGTTTCAGAGACAAAAGCCCATTTAAAGGTGTGAAGAGGGTCACTTGGAAACACAAAAAGCATTCATATGCGTACTCCCAGTCTTAGATACTCAGACTGAATGACAAAAACTCCTTATTGCCTGACTGAAGACTTTCCTGGGGAGTGTGGGCCATACAATCTACATTTGCACTCATTCCCGGGGAAATAATTCAACTTCGACTAGAGGGAAACTGAGGGTGAAGCAGCCTACCTAAGGGTGGAAGAACCTCAGTGACTAAGATCACTTCTAGGTATAGTTTCTTCCTGTCTCCTGTGGGAGGGGAGGGGAGGGGACTTGTAGAGCAGGTAGGAGGATTTCTAAGAGATTTTAAGTAACTGACCTTAAGTGAATGGATGGTGGCAGAGCGAGGGAAAGAGTAGCTTTCCACTTTGGATCAGGAGACTTGGATGCTGCCCTGCTAAGCCCTGATTGCTAAGGTGGTTCGAGGTCCAGTGGACCCATAGAATCTGAAGAAGTGCCATTAGGCCTCTGGGATGAATAAAAGGGAGATATACTTCTTATTTCTTTTACTTATCACACACATTTTTTTCCTGGAGCACACCTTGCAGGGGACGGCCTTCGTGGGGTGGATTAGCAGGCGCCTCTGTGACCCCAGACGCGCACGTAAACTAGGCTCGGGTTTGGTTCGCCCGCGGCGTCGATTTGCCGCGGTCCCCCTTTGTCTGAGCCCAGCCGGGAATTCCAGCTTTTATTGGGAAGACCGCACTCGGGTGGAGCCCGCGCCGGGTCGGGCGGGGCTGGGCTGGGCTGGGCCCTGGGCTGGGCGGGAGCTCCCGCTAGC